CCCCCCGATAGTCGACGTTTTCTGCACTCGCTCGGCGGAATAATAACATCGAGGAAGAGGTGAAACTCGAGTCGCTTACTCGGTCCACGAGCTCGGCGATTATTATTTACATGGACACTGAAATTAACAAATTGCCAACACGACACGGCGCGAGCCGACGACCACTTAGAAATCCATCCGAGACACTTCTGGCTTTCTAGATCCTCGAAATTTTTCCCTCCTCCCGCGGCCCGCCACGCGTTACATGCGAATTACCAGCTCGGCGAGTTTCGGAGTATAACAAATTGTCTCGTGAGAAAACGCGTGCGCACGCAGGAGCGTAGAAAGTGAAGTTTTGCGATACATAAAACACGCGTATCGTACAAAGCGTATTAATTAGTCTGAAACGTCCGGTGGCGGCGGAGAGGATCGAACGAAAATGCTCGGTACAGAGAGAAAGAGAGAGAGAGAGAGAGAGAGGGGCATCAAAGAGGCGGATATAATTAATGCTTTACTCGTCGACCCTCCATCTAAAAACGCTGTACTCATAATCCGATCTCTGCTCCGTCGTTTTCTTCATCCTCGGATCGCGCTCGTTTTTGCAATTAACACGTAGAAAACGCAACTCTCCGCGATATCATCGGCATACTTGCGATTCATAAGCGAGAGAGATTGCCGCGAGACAACGAGTAAGAGCGTTAAAGTTCGTTTCACCTGTTGTTTTTGCGTTACGTTCATCTTACCGCGACCGTTACCGTATTAATATCGGCGGCCGGGCGCGAGAGAACATCCGGATCTTGTAGCGATACTTGTCCCTGCCCGCGAATAAGGACGGGGTTGCCTTCGTCGGGGGCGTTCATTACGCGTTACTCGTTAAAACAGTACATGCCGGCTGCGTTTTCCGTGCACCGTTCCGTCCGTAACGGCCGCCGATCGCGCGACTGCCTCTTAACCGGCTGCGTTCTACGCCGCGCTACTACGAGCGTATTATTAGTTGCGCGATGATAATTGCGTGTTAACGTCGAATCGAGTAACGAGCCCCCGGTCGTTCATTTGCAGCAGGAGCCGCGGCCGGAACTCGACACCAGCAACGGCAGCAGCAACGGCGGCAGGCCGCGATTCGTTCCCGTCACCGCGCTCGAGGACGTGCAGGCGGTGCGCTGCGCCGAATTCCACCCCCACGGTAAGCTCTACGCCGTCGGCTCGAACTCGAAGACCCTCCGAATATGCGCCTACCCGAAGCTCCACGATGTCAGGTGAGTACGCGTTTTATCGCACGGCCACGTGTTTCATTGGGCGCGCCGAACGCCGCAGCGGTCACCGGTGAACGGTGCTGAGATATTACAGCCGCGTTTCATTAAATTACGCACAGAGTATAATTAACTGCGCTTGCAAAATTGATTTATACGGATAACAGAGAGCTAATGGTATGAGGTAAAAGATATATGCGCACCGAGTTGCAATTACTCGCCGTATCTTTGGTAATTCGACCGTCGATTAAGCTTTGTGTAATCAGTGGAAATCTACGCGGCAGTCGACATGTTAAAACCATCGAGAAGAATGTTGTGAGGTTCGAGAAGGGTTTTATTGCCATTATAAGAAGATAATTTTTAATTTTACAATAGCTGTTATAGTAATTTTTAATCTTAAATAGCTGTTATGGTAATCTTGAATATTACATTAAAGGGTAATTTTTATTCAGTGCTCTGGGACGAACTTCCTCAAGCGCAGATCCCAACAGATATATTTTGTGAAATATGAAAGTATTACATTGTTACGTTATACAATCATGCAAAGCACCACATGCTCGAGGTGTAATAAGAAAAAAGAAAAAAGAAAACACGCGTATGTCTGGTAGTTGTTAAAGAATATAGCGATACTGAGAGAAGAACCTCGCGAAGGTTGTACATTCGTTTCAGCTGAAAGTGAGATCGTCTCGAGCGGCTGTTGCAACAAGTATTTTCACTTTGTGCAACGATTTCGTCGGGATCCTATTTTTATCTATTTTGATACGTGTCGAAATCAGGCTTGAATACTTGCAACTCTCGCCTCGTGCCGCTTGTAAAATATCCCGTATTTTTTCCCGAATCGCACCTTTTCAAGTAACCAAACAAAAGTACGCTTACATTTTGTGCTCGTAAAAATCACGAAAATTATTCACCGAGACTGGACGTTGTCGAATTGATGAAGTGATTTCAATCGCACATTGTTCGCTATTCGATTGTATTGTTCGTATTATGAAAAAATTTCAAATTGCCTTTCACCGAGATTAGATCGCTCTATATATCGATTTACATCTTTCCACGAAGTTTCTGTTCGGCAAGAGATTTCCGGGAAGCGATTCCGTTCCGTTGTTACCGTAAACGCCCATCAATAATCAATTACCGATATCGATAATGGACTTTCTACCGAATGCACTTTGTATCGATGGAAATAACGTCACGATAGCGGATGGAAGTCGTCTCGCACCGGGCGCTCGAGAAATCGCAAATTGCGGCTGTATCGGACCGCGGAAGTAACGCGATCGCAATGCCTCCCCTCATCCAGAACCGAATATCGCAATGGAAGCTCTCAATGTCGCGTGCAGGCTGCCTCGAGGTAACGTTTGCGTGCGACGGATAATCACAGTGTCCGTCGTACCGCTCTTCGGCGAATTGCGTTATCCGAATTGCCGTACCGTCATTACGCTCTTGCGCAAAAATAACGAGCGCGAATCACTGTCTCGGTGTCTCGTCGTTACCGAAAAATTCGAACGGCAACGGGAATCACCACGATTCCTGTCGTCGAGCCGCGAGAGAAAAGGAGAAACAGAGAGAGAGGGAGAGAAAGTTTCATCTATTCGGCGCTCTGGGAAGAACGTTCCTCTCAAGTGCCCCTTAAGATATTACGTAGATAAATAATAACAGTGGAGAAATGCTGACCCAATCGTACATTAAACAAACGGATCCTCAATCAATACATGTTATGAATATAGTTATGAATATCAACACATATTATGAATATTGTTATGAATTTAGTGCGGATCGATCAGGGACAAGCGCACGGAGAAGACAAATTTTGCTGGGACAGCAAATTATTTAATATAGTGACGGCAAAAAGATTTATTTGTACAGTAGAAGGATTTGTTTGGGCAGCGGAAAGCTGTGTTAAGAGTATCAATTGCTACTTGCTGGATATATGGGCAGCAAAATTATTCTTTCCGCGTAACGAATCTTTTTGTTCTCGCTATAGCAACAAACAATTTGCTGTTTCCACTAAAATTTTTTTCTCCGTGCGGTAGCCAAGAAATTGCAGATATCTGATCCAGTGTGTACAGAAGGAAATTACATTATTAGTAGCAGCCCTGTGGATGCTCTCCTCTTTCCGAAAGGAAGTTGTAGAACGCGGTTTTAACCTTTTGCCCTGCTGTTCTGGAATTTCGAGTTTTATCTGGTAATGCAGTCCAAAATCTTGCAGTGCAACATCTAGTGCGCTTGTATTGCTCGGTACGGCAAGATGGTATCTCTAATCTTTCCCGTCCTGCTCTACTGTCTCCACAGGAGACTTCTGACCTGCGATTAAAGTCCTGATATGTGAGCTTAGATTGTTGCTCGGTTAGCATTTGGAGAAAGAGAGGGAGGGAGAGAGAGAAATCCTATGATAAGCTTGTATTTGCGATTCTGCGAAAAGCAGCGGGAAGAAAGAGAGAATCGTGAGAGTCGTAATACATTTAACGGCGCCAGCGAAAATAACTATTATAATTTATGGGTCGGTCGAAAGGGGAGACTCGTTATTAACGACCGCGATGAGGATCGCCGATCGACGAAATAATTTCACGCGAACATCCGCTCGCGCGTTGCCCGTTGTGCAACGATAACCGCTGCCTAGCCGAGCTTGGCGCACGTTTTTATTCACGGTGGACACGTTTCGGATGCCGAGATAGCGAATAGAACGCGGCGGGAGAAATCACAGCTTCTGCGGCGGAACGCGTCACATTCGTCACGTATTCAATAAGCCCGGGCTTATCAGTCATCTCGATGCGCCGATAATATCAACGCGATTGCGCCTCCCCGGGTAATTACAACAGACGCACACGCTCGTTAATCACACGACCACCATCCCCCCCTCCCCCAACCGACGCAACTGATATCCCTCTTGACGCGTCGTCGCCAATGCCGCTCACGGCAAGCGTAACTGTAATTCAGCAAGGTATTATTAGTACAAATTAATTCGATGCCTTTCATGAAATTCAGTTTATTTACAAAAGGTTGAGTGCAAGTTTAATGTTCGAAATAATCTCCATTATTTTCGATGACTTTGCTCCATCTTTCGAACAGATGCCTTCGCGGAAGAAATTTGGCGGTTTTGACTCGATAAAGTCATCGATGCTTTTTCGGACCTCGTTAACCGTTTTAAAATGCGTATCCGACGGGGCTGGCGAATAAGCCGCATGAGGGAGAATTTCCCAGCCCAAATTTATACATAAGATCTTTCCTCTCTTTTGCAGTATATGACCGCACGTTATCGTGCAGCAGAATCACCTACTTAGTTCCATTGCTGGTAAAAGATCCTTTTACAAGTTTTATGGGTCACAGCACTTTCACCCAAAGCATAGGAACAAATTACTTTGGTAGACTGAACAGCATTTTTATACAATTGGAGTGCAAAGTTGTTCTCTTGAACAACATTGTGCTAACTATTGTGTTCTGAGGTTATATCGACAAGGTCGTCAACTATTATAGTGCTTCTTAAAGCTTAAGGTTGGCACTTTCAAATCATCATAAAGGACAAGAGAAAAATTTAAATTTGAACCAGAGTTACTGGACATTAAATGAAAAAACACCGAATTAGTTTGTACACCTAATAATTTCGATAATATACGCGCGTGACGATATTTATACGACAGCGTGCGCGTGCGCGTACCGAGATTTTTCCCGATGAGATCGTTATCGTTATCTGGACCGCTTCCGGGCGCGGAATTTGTATCCGCGGAGAACAAGTAAGTAATAGATACTTTGTGTCGACGGACAGATATCTTTTAGATCGCCCGCCAGTGATACCGGACGTTTAAGAAATGCCTGTAACAACGCTGAGAAGAAAGTGTTCGGCCTTTGTGAACTAGAATAATTACACGGTATATGACTAATCAATTTGCATAGCAATTATAAGCACAATTTTTACAACATTATAATTATGGTCAAGAAGAGGGTTTTTTATACTTTCTAAACGTCCTCGAAAAGAATTCCACTCGAAAAGTTCAATGGCCGCCGAGTCGCTCGATTTCGATTAACGCTTATACAGAATGAATTCTTTCACTCGGCGTCGTCGAGTGTGAGTAGTTCCACTCGAAGCTGAAGAGAGAATTTGATGTGCTCCATCTGTCACAGGAACGAATTAACTCTGATTGAAACTCGGATCAAGAATTCACTTTAAGTTTCAGTTAAACATTCATTCTTACGATTCCGCGAGTAGCGATATTTTTATTATTGTTTTTAAAGAGATTGAACTCTAAGAAATTTAAATAATAAATTTATTAAATAATAATAAGTGTTACTTTAGTAATAGTAATTTGTTGCCATTTCTTTTTTGTTAAAAAATGACTATAACTTTAACGAGATTATCTTTTCGCAGCGAGATATCAAAGTTATTTGTGCGCATTGAATTGAAAGTTATAATTAGTTAAAAGAATAATAATAATCAAAGAGAGATGTGACTTTTGCTGATTGGCGATTATTGTTGAAGAAAATCAAGAGAGCTTCCACGAAATATAATATGTAAACTATGCTGAAAATGATCAACCGTGAAAGTAATTTCAAAAGTACTTGTCTTTTGCGTACTCTCTATACTATATTTGTATATATTCTGTAGCACCAGAGGGAATTTCATCCCGTTAATAAATTAAATTAAATTAAAGAAAAATTGAGAAGATTGCTAAATTAATTCGATCGTGATCGACCATGCATCCTATCGACATTCACTCACGCGGTTCGCACAATTTAAGTTGGTTCTGGAAATTTGCATTCGCTAAACTAATTTTACGCAAACGTGCTGGGTTAACGAGCGGCGAAGGCCTTCATGCCAAACGGAGCACACCCGCATGTTTAGCGAATGTGAGGGCACAAGCAGAGGGATAGCCGACAATAGTTCTCTTTTCATTACCGGCTACGAAGTCGTACTGCATCACGTCGTTTCCGTTTACATCGAGCGAGAACGCGCTACGTAACTCTTTATCCTCATCGCCATCATGCTCGCAACAGCTATACGAATATATATACATATATATATCTCATAACTTTTTTTTAATTGTTATATGCTTATTACAATCTTAAACTTCTGCTTAAATAAATAATACGACTGACAAACGTAAAATACGACGTATACGGTGTCTTAGATCATAATCTGAGCTCAAAAACAACTCAAAATATAGAGCTCATAACTTCAGTACGATTTTTGGATCATAAAAACCTTCGGGCTCGCGATCAGAAAATTCAGATATTCACGGTTCCGCGAAAATTTCATGAATAAATTCGGAAAGGGACACGCACAAAGAGTGACGAAAATCTAGCAAATCCGAAGAGATCGAGAACTTTGTATACAGTCGAGAACGATACGTAGTAAAGTCGAGGTAATAAAATATTCATAGAAGGTGCAGAAGGTGATCCGGTTGAAAATACTAAATTAACTGGAGAACGTGGAATATGTCGCGTGTGACTAAATAATTCAGTAATATGCGGGGGCGGTTACAAAAATACGTGAGGTCGTGTCGCACAAAAATAGCGTAGAACGGTATTATACTTTCGGTTTTTTTTTTTTGAGAGAGAGAAAGAGAGAGAGAGAGAAACAGAGGGAAGGTTACTTTATAGTTCGAGACTGCTTTACATTACAAGGTAGACAACAAAGAGTCCCCTTTCACTCGTACACTATTCCGTCTCGAATTCACGACAGTGCTCATTTAACGCTCATATCATAACGTCCCGGTGAAAAAAAGAAGGCAACGAGCCGCAATTCGCGTCTAAAGTCAATAGTGCATCGCCATTTCCATTGGTTCACCCGTAAGTAACCTCGTACTCGACTCGAGTCGTTACCTCCGACTCGCGAAATGATTCTCGCTCGGCGTCGAGAAAGTGCGCTCGTGTACGAGACGCGCGTTACTCGCTGTTTCGCGGAAAATTTGCGCTCGAATTGCAGGGAACACGAGGTGCGACACACACGCGTGTGTCTTACACAACTCTTCGCCGCGCACTTTCAAAATTACCGTTTCCCCGTAACAGCAAGCGGCGAGAGCCAAGTGTTACGAGCATTTCAAACTCTGTACGAGTGTTATTGAAAAAAGGATAAATAAGGCAAAAAAGTATCGAGTCTCTAGGATAAAAAGAACCAAGTCTCAATTATGTTGCACGAAAAAAAAAAGGATTAGCTCTCACGGATAAAAATTAGCTGTCCATATAATATAACTGAAACGTAATTACTTTAGCTAATTCTTCTTATTCCTCTACTTAATTTCTAGTTCTCATAACTAAAAACTAGGTCTGGTAACTAAATTTCAGTTACACTTTATGGACAGCTAATTCCGTGTGATAATTCCTTTTTTCCGCGTGGTATAAATGTTTTTTAAGAATGTTTAAGAAATTTAAATGTTTGTTAGAAAAGATCGACCTGATTGCATCATGCAAACTTCTGGTAGAAAATTAAGAAAATTAGGTGCTTAATATGATCAATAATGTATTATATCATTCTTATGAACGTATCGTTAAACTAAATGTCGGATTTATTTTACATAAACCAGAGATTAAAAAGATATTAAAATTTTGCTGAAAAAAATGAGAGCACGTGTTTCGTCACACGCAACCCTGAAATAAGGTTCGCATAAGTCGACTCGAGCAGCGTTCGCTGATCTTTTTCTACAGTCTTACACACAAAATCATGCCGCTGCAATGAGCCACACGGATAAACAGCTCGTAAAACTTGCTAAATGGCCGTTGTAAACGTCGCGATTACGCCATTTGACGCCATAATAGCGCTAATAGCACACGTACGCGCGTTCGTAATTATGTAAACTTACGAGACATCAGGAAATCGTTCTTGGCGTCGTGACATCCGTGTTGCGACAGGAGCAAAAGTCTGATACCAGTGACGGGCAGCTTATGAAAACTTGGCTATTAGGAGACGTTAGATCATTTAATTAGAATCCGATGTGATCGGTTCTCTCTCGCGTACGTGAGCGTCATGAACGTACTTAGAACACAACCTTATTACTTTTTCAAGAATGAAACTCACTTTTCCCGTTTATTTTTGACCAGCTAAACCGCTCCCATGCCTCCCATGAATTCGAATGGCACGTCTCGGGTTTGCTCATAAGGTGGTTTATCAAAGAAAATTTGTGTGCGTTTAGACGCGAATATACATATTCATGTTATACATTCGTTGTTCGTTCCAATTCTCTACGTAGCAAATCTACGCCGTCTCACACCGCGATATTCATGTCGCAAATCAGATTCCGTGTATTATGCGAGGTCGCAAATTAGATTTGCGATTTCATTTTTATTCCGGATCGAAGTTACCGGAGCAAGCGATATCGTTCAGATCGTAAAAGAGATATTGGCCTCGCGAGCGAAATGGGACCGATATACATGGATTATCGGTCAAAGAGTCGAGTTAACGCGGATTTTTTGCAGCAATTTAAAACGGCAGAAGAAACACTGAAGAACAAGATCCAGGAGCTAATAATGACAGCCGTGCAATCAATACCGCCTGTAAGGCGCGTTACAAACGCACGCATGTGACATCGTTTTATTGATAAGTGAGAGTGTGACTTTACATGTCATTTCGAAAGACAAATTTCTGTTTCTTATTGACACATTTTTCCGTCGCTTTTATTTTCAAGCGGCTTTCGCGTCAACTTTCAAAATGATAAAAAAAAATTACAACCTCGTCTCGTTGGATATTATAGATAAGCGATCTAGCGAATAAGGGCACAGATTTCTACGTAGAGTGACATTTACGACACATCGTTTCGAATCCGACAGTCATCCGCGATGTGTTCCTCTTTTTTCTTCTTTCAAACGAGATGTGCTATGCAGGATATGCGACGAAAGTAAGCCGATGACAGCGGCTTATTCATACCGGTAAATTCCCCGTGAAACGTAATCTTCGGATTTCTCTATACTTATAATTGATGTATTAAGAACAAATTATTACTGCTGAAATAAGCCTTCGAGAATTTTTATTATTATTATTTAATTTTTATATGTTCGCGCAGAAGAAAAAGTACTAGATTCAAATAAAGAATTACTCCGATATTCCTTAGCAAAAAAATTTAATTAATCCAACTAAAAATTTGTTAAGAAATATTTGAATAGTTATTTACTTTAATTTAACATTGTTTTCTATGATCGATATTTTACACAAATTTTAAGATGAAAGGAGCTTTCTTTTCGTCAATATATTCGTCGTACAGATTCAATGCGAAAATTCCTTGCCACCATCTTGCACGCTGATCTTTCTCTCAAACGATTGCACGCTGTGTAATATTTATCTATTCCATTATTCTTATCGCTCCACGTATTCGGACACCTTTCCCAATTATGTTGTTATTGTCCGGAGAAACCTCCTCGACGAATAATCGTATCGTCACTTTCGAAAGTCGTTCCTGTCCGGTGCTCGACTGGAAATTGCCACGGCCAGAAATGTCGTTAATTCCGCGCATCACGCTGGGGGCCGAATGGATACGAGAAGGCAAATAATAATTAATAATGAGAGATATTTTACGAGTGGAACATCTTGATCGGCAGACGCGTGTAGAGCAAGCGAGAGTGAGAGAGAGAGAGAGAGAGAGGGAGAGAGAGCGATTGCGAGCTCAACGCGTCAGATTCGCGGTGGGAAAGAGCGGCGTTCTTAATTAAAATCTGCATAAAAACCGGCGCCGTGAAAGCGGCCGCGCGTCTCTTTAAAAATCATCGAGCCTCTCCTTCGTTTCCACGGCCGAAACGCCGTGGCATGCGCAATAATGCAGCGATATCGGCTTCAATTAGAGACGAGGACGACTAAGAACGAGGAAGAAAATGGGTTCGATGAAAGTGAGACGCCTGCGAACCCACGTGAGCGGTTCTGCACGAGAAAAAAAAATTAGTCTTAACCCTTTCGGTACTACTGCCGCCCATTAGCGGTGGCCATGAAACGTTCTCTGGGTACTACCGTCGCCTATTGGCGGCATCCACGAAACGTTCTCTGGGTACTACGCTGCCGTACAGTGCAACCACTTTTGTGGAAAACTTCCTCGTACCACGAATGTATAATCGCGGCCAGCTCTTCCGTACCGAAAGGGTTAAATCAAGAATAGATATTCTCATATATAAGCAAGAATATCATAATCTTCTTAGAAGATTTTTAGCTTTGGTTCGATTGAATTTACGTTGACGCAAGTGTTACTCGAACTCAATTCAAAGCTGAAAATCTCCTAAGAAGATTATAATATTCCGACTTATATGTGAGAATATCTGTTCTTGATTTAAGACTAATCTTTTTTTCGCGTGTTCTCTCCTCCAGCTCGGACGTTCGACGGCTCCGGTGAAATAATTCCACGATTCCGCGCCGGCCGACGGATGATTTATCGCGGTAGCGTGGAAATATTTACCACGCGGCGGCAATACCGTACGACGTTCGAACGGTCTGGGAAGTAACAGCAGAATTTTTGCGTGTTTTCTCTTTCTCAGGGAAGATCATCAGACGTATCAGCCCACCGTTCTCTTCAAGAGAACGAAGCATCACAAGGGCTCCATATATTGCCTCGCGTGGACCCCGGACGGCAGGCTGATGGCCACCGGCAGCAACGACAAGACCGTGAAACTGATGCGCTTCAACGCCGACACTTCGAACCTCGAAGGTACTGTCTCTTCTTGTTCTCTTCTAAGTTCCGTCGAGTGAAATTCCACTCCAAAAGCGGAGTGACAGCTGAGTAGGGCGTAAAGTATATTTTTCACTCGGAATCGCCGAGTGAATATTTTCATTCGATATTGAAGAATTAATCTGATGCATTTCACCGTCGTAGGATCAGATTGACTCTGATTTAAAATTCAAATTTCAAGTTTCACAAGGTCCATGTTTTGTAATATTTTATACTCGGGACTTTACAAGTTATGAACAATTTGCTCCACTTTAATTCTTCTCTCTTCTCTCTTATTTTATTTATTTATTTACATACGGGAAGTATCCCTTTGGTACAATATGTTCAACAAATATAATGAAAAAGAAAGAAAAAAGAATAGAGAAAAGAAAAGGTAAGGTACAACCTAGCAGATATTAAATAAAAATACTAGCATAAAAAGACACGTTATAACAATACATTGTAACACTTTAAGATATACTTAGGTTCGAGTGATCATTGACGTTTAAATTATAATATATTTGTATATTATATTATTAAATTTCCTATTCGTTGAATCCTGTTCGGTTTCCCGGCCTTATTGAGAAATGAAACTGATCAGTGATACGTAAATTTGTTGCGCCGTGAAGAGTTGATTCATTGTCCTCGATCAGATTCACGCTATTCAAAGGGGATTCAAGTACATTACCTTCTTCATTAACACGCATTGCCACAAACTCACCTGTGCTGTTTCCCACATTGAATTTCCAGGGCAAGAAGTCGAGCTGACTATGCACGACGGTACGGTGCGCGACCTGTGCTTCCTCGAGGACACGTCGAACAAATCGAGTCTTCTGATCAGCGGCGGTGCTGGCGATTGCAAGATATACGTTACCGACTGCGCGACCGGTACACCTTTCCAGGCTTTAAGCGGTCACAGCGGCCACGTGCTGACGCTCTACAACTGGGGCGGAGCGATGTTCGTCAGCGGATCGCAGGATAAAACAGTTCGATTCTGGGACCTGAGAACGAGGGGCTGCGTCAATATGGTCACACCTGCGACGGTACCTGGCAGCAGGGTTAGTTGGGTTCTCCGTCGATACGTTTGCGATAGCAGCGTCTTTCACGCTGATGATCACGATCCTTGGGTGACGGAGAACGGAATAAGGGTGACTTTCACCGAACTCTGATCAAACTAATCGATGAATAATAATAAGAATTGCCAGCGTGTCAATTTCTACTGCCGTAACTTGTTCAACGATAATCAGAAAGTTCATCATTTTCATCTGTGTTGGCAAAACAGAGGCAGGCAACACTTGAGACTGACAGTAATCTTAAATCGTCGATCAACTTAATCGGATGTGGGCAAAAGTTATCCTAAGTCTCGCATCTTTGTTGAAAGGAAGAATGAGAAAAAATAGAACGGTTTTTCACGAATTCGTCTTGAATATTTTATTGCGTAAATATTAAATATTAATTAATCCTCTAATGGGGCAAAGTGGACTTTCAACGTATCCAGAAATATAAAAAAATTTTTTCATGTAATCAATGATACAAAATGGATAAAGGAAGTAAATAATAACGTGAAGCATCTGTTTTCGAAAGAGAAACAGTGCGCTAATAATAAAGAAATAAATGATAAACAAAATAAACGAAGCCGTGGGGTCAATTTGATCCCATACTTTACCATTAGAGGATTAATCAAACAATAAATTCATTTCGTTCTCCGTCCACACATATAGTTTACAGTGCTCTACGCGTGTCACTTACGCGGGTCAATAGCCAATGGTAAACGTTCGAGACGAAAGTTGCAGTGGGAGTCAGCGGACTTCGAGGAGGTGTTCGCGCCATAACTTAGAATCCGGCATGCATCAACATTTTTACGTTCCGTTTTAGCCTTTAGTTCCGCGTCCGATAAATATTCGATCTCGTCGCAGTTTTTTTACATTACCGCACCGCCATCTCTCTCCCGCTCGCAAGGCATCCGTCACCTCTCTCCCCGCCGATCGGATTTTTATCGGACGTTTTCGCGATTCGTTCCCAAGTACGAAAGCAGTATTGTTTGCCTGATCAGCATCTGATCCCGCTGCAGGTCGGAAGCCCCGTAGCTGCGCTCTGCGTGGACCCGTCCGGCCGGCTCTTGGTGTCCGGCCACGAGGACAGTAGCTGCGTCCTCTTCGACATTCGCGGTGGTAGAACGGTTCAATGCTTTAAGCCACACGCGGCGGACATCAGGAGCATACGATTCTCACCGTCGGCGTATTACCTACTGACAGCAGGATACGACAACAAATTGGTACTCACGGATTTGCAAGGTGTGTTTCGCGTTAAAATCGCTGATACCCGACAGGCTTTTATCTAATTGGACACAACGAAATATGTTTCAGGCGATCTTACGATGCCGTTGCCCAGCGTGGTGGTTGCCCAACATCAGGACAAAGTAATCTCGGGACGTTGGCATCCGACCGAGTTCTCGTTCCTCAGTACTTCCGCTGACAAAACGGCGACCCTGTGGGCCTTACCACCTGTTTAAATGTCCAGGGCGATAATGCGCGCAATGTTATTTATTTCTTCGTTTTCTTCTTTGAGAACACCTTAATAACACGATCATTTTCGTCCGAACGGTAACCTCACACGTCGACTCTCAAGTTATCCGACAGACACTATTAACCTCCGGAGAAGAGCAAGCGGTTTTATGCGGTGTTGACACTCTAACGTTATCTGTGTACTCGCACATAGTTTAACCATGACCAATTAAACCTCCTTGATCTGTGTGACTACGTCGTTAACGTGACACGATATTAATTAATCGCAGCGTGTGCGACTTGTTACACACGAGAGAAGTCAAGCATTTAAACGCGATTCAAACGTAACTGTAACATGCTTTAAGGAAGAATAAGGAACCGTCTTTAGTCAGAGGCGATATATATATATATATATATATATATATATCGAGTCGGTAGAATTGTTTTTTTAACTACGAGAATTTGATACCGGGAATTACAAGACTGTGGATGAATAATCACACGATTCGCCGCTTCCGAATCAGATAAATCCGAAGCCGAATCGTACCAACATGAATTTTAAATATTCTACTTTCAGCACAAAAGTGCGACAAGTTCTCAGACTCGTCGAAGGACGATTTCCCGGAGAATGACGCACGCGTACTTATCGGGACCGCGATGCGACACATGACGTACACCTTCTGTCTCTTTTTAATACGTTTTCGTTATAATCAGAATGATACCTGTACTGTAAATATGTTAAGATAGCGTTAAGAAATTTTCAACATTACGAAACTCCGTCGCGCTCCTGTACAAAGGACGTACCAATTAATTTCTTACTCCGAGTGCTCTCTTATTTTCGCTCAGTTCGTTTATCATTTTATTTTCACGTTGTTTCGTAATATTTAAATGAGAAAAGAAAACGAAAGAAACATCCGATGGATCGTCACATTTGTTGTATTTTACTTTTGGTTTATTATGAAAAATGCACCGCGCTGCAATTGTTCTAATTCTCGCGCGCGCACGCACACAAGTCTAACTCGTGTAGATGCTCCTTACTTCCATCTTTCCTTGTTATCGACTCACAAGCCAAATATACACACACGCGTTCTAGTACATATATATATATATATATATATATATATATATATAGCCGTATTCAAAGAAATTATATACGTACGCTCATACTAATCGCTATTTTTTACGGACTAAGATAATTACATAATAATATAAATCGAGAATGGCGTATGTATCTGGAGCGTCGAACACGTGATTATAAGTTTGCGCCAATCGGAGAACACGATAGTATTCTTATTCGTAGTAAGGTCGTAAGTCGACTAACAGTTAGATTTAAGTTGCATATTGCAATCGCCAAAGCTCGCAGTAGCAACAAAACTGAAAAGAGAAGAAAGAGAGGAACCACCCGCGTGTGTGTGTGTATCACCTCGCGCGGCTACCGAGAGAGCGGTGGGGTGTTCTTTTTCTCGAACGATCGGAACCGCGACTTGAAACACGGGAAGAAGTTTCTGTAAATACACGTTCATCGGTGACCGACTCTTGATTTTCTCATATCATCACTCCGTCAGGCGAACAATGTCCGCGACATCGTTTCGTTCTCTTATTGTTTTACCCCTATTTCTCCGACGTTGACGCTCGCATGTTTCGAGTCTCACTTCGCGTTAGCATACTTTTTCCGCGTATAGACAAATCGTACCTTAAGACGCGAAAGTGTTCGATGAAAACGGGAAAGTTCGCGAGTGATAGTAACAAAGCAGAATAACGATAAGCAGAATAACGGAAGGGGAGACTGGTGAATAAATAGGGAGGTTAAAGCGCGCACCCGCTTGCCAGATAAAACTTCGCGATCTTCCGTGCTCGATCATTCGACGCAGAACGCGGAAATGTGTGCACGGAGTACGTGAATCAAAATACTATTCGTGCGAGACGAATCCTTGCGAACGGTGTCCGTTAAATATTTTCTTTCTTTTCTTTCAGCACGATTTACGAATCAACGAAAATAACTCTCTTCGGATATTTTTCAAGTCCAGAAGTGTGTACAATTAATGGTGGTAGTAATGTCACCAGTATAATCCGAAAACATTACGTGCATCTCGGTGCAGCTACCGCGCGTCATCTCGTGATTTGTATCTCGCTGCTCGACGACTTTGTTTCCCTACTCCGTGTATCTTAATGATCGACAGTCGAAATCGCGTAACGGCGACGAACGGACAAGCGGAACAACGGGAGAATAGCGATTATTTGTAATAGCGACTTGACGCAAGCATCTGCTTCCATGTAGCAATTTATCGTGCCTTCTGTCGTGGCTGCTTTCGGCGATTCACATTTATTTTTGTATCTTTTCGTGAAGTCCTTCGTCCCCTTCCACTCCCTCCCCCTCCCCCCTCTCACCATCCCCATTCCCCAACGCTAATCTCCCCCTCCCACCCCCCTTTCATCACACACAATGTATCCAAACGAGCTCGTAAACATCTAAAAGTAAATCTCAGTATCTCGTACGAGTATTACCGCATAACATACTATACATAATAGTATAACTTATAACTTTGTACTTTTCTTGTAGATACGATACGATATATATGTCACGTCTAATTTAAACAATAAAATTTACGTTATTAAGACCGCCGTGTCGATGGTTGAGACCCACCCGGCCAGAGAAGAGCCCATCGGAGAATTCAAGCCGGGAGAACCAGCCGCGCTAATCTCATTTGGGCCCGAGTTTTTCGGAAGTTTCGGTAATCGGGCCGATTAGACCGCCGTAAGAGAGAAATTACGACGGCCCTGGATACCGTACTGCGGTATAAGGTGTATATACTTGCCAAAAGTCGATCGACTTTTTATAAATTTCCCATAATGACTGTAATCATGCAATCTTCCACCCGCATGCATTACCGGTGGCGCCGAATTCGCTGCTCCGCGGGCCCAGTTCCGTGAAATAGGGGTATACCGCGCGCGAGTGAAACCGCTCTCCTAATCTCGGAAACATTAAGCGAGAATTATTTAACGGAGAACCGGCAATTTTGCCGCTCATCTTTATCGATTATGGAAAAACTCTACCGCCGCTGAGATATAATATATCACGCGTCAGGCGACTGCGTGCCGGCGACTTCGGGCGAGCCGAAATTTTGCGATGACCGACGCAACTGAACGACTCTCGCGAAATTGAATAACCGAGATCGTTTCTGAAAAAAGAGAATACGATCCCGCTGGGAATTTCCAGGTGGATTCCCACGGAAATCCAAGGGACCTTCTGCGAATCCATGCAGGATATTCAAGAAATCCGTATAAAAATCCACATGATGTATGAAAGACGCGTCTGTTGTTTCAGTGCAGAGAGTAAAAGGCGAATCGATAATTATGCTTCGGATAAATCTTTCTATCGTCACGTCAACCCGCTTGAAGTCGGCGCGAAAAGACGACGAAGGGGTACGAAAAGAGTAAGCGTCGCGGCGAACAACCTCACGATCTTCGGACTCGGCCCGAGAAGCGTCCCCGGGGCGAGGATCCACCCACGGAATTCCTGTACGTCTGTCGGGGACCATCTGTCGATTCGACGAATTCGGTTGGTTTGCGCTTCGGGATTTTTCGAAATCCTCACCGCGGGCCAAATTACCGAGCCCTAATTACCACCGGTGCGATGATCATCCTGGGACGGACGCGTACCCCGGGTCCCCGGAGATAAATGTAGTTTCTATCGAACCCACCTACAAAGTCGGTCGGACCCGTGCGTTGCGCAGCCTTCAGGAATGTCCCCCGAGGTGCGACGCTTCCTCCGTTAATTCCACTTACTTATTACGGCTTGCTCGATCATATTTGGCAATGGGCTCTGATTCGGGATTTTTAGGATTCCGCTTAATTGACCGTCGCAACGTCTTCTGACTGATAGAGAGAGGAGGCGAGTCCCAACATGTGTCTTATAAGATGTCTTTATTTGAAATTTTAGTTCTACTTTAAGTTTAGTATAGTTCTATATTGAGTGTTCAAAGGTCTTCCTATTATGCTCCTTTGGCGCCATGAATAGGAAAGTTATTTCCGTTTCCTTTGTTTGAAGACCTAATGTAGAATTTAAAATTTCCCTCCGACACGTAAACTTGGCAGAAAAAAATCAGTATTCCGTTGGTCAAGTTTTTACGTATGGTATCCCCTTAATTTGTTATTTCATGCTTTCGCGGTATGGAAAAATACCTAATTCGACCTTCGAGTTAATATAATGTTGTCGTAGTATGCAAATGGCAAGTTGAAGAGAGAAAAAACGAGAGACAACTTCTGAGAGACAGAGCAGACCGGTACAATCGCGATATCGCCCGGTCACAATGACTATTTTCCGGTAATTAGAGAAACGGGTTTAATTGGAAGAAAAACACATTACACCTAGTGCTATTTGAATATGAGGAAAATAAGTAATCGTGTATACTTGAGTGACCACGAGATCTCTCTGTTACGGAGGACGCGACTCGCTCCAGTCTCAGAAACGTAATAACAATAATTAAGCAAATATTATTCCGAGAAAAATCCCCGATGTTCGCGCTGTGTGCGCAAAATCACGCAATTAAAAGAATTAGCCCGCTAGAAGTGGGCTAGATATTAGTCCCCGTGATCACGAACGAAGTGGTCGCGCTTAGCGAGCGAGAAACGAGGAACTCGGAAAGAAGGGCGATGCATTAGGCTAATCGCGCCGTTAAATAATTCATCACGCACGAGGCATTCAAATTAATAACGTATTACGAGAATCGCCTCCAATCGAGCTCGGCGCACGAATTGCTTTGTATACTCTATCATTTCCGCAGCGGTTCTCACACGTACGGTTCTCTCGTCCACTGTGCCGCCGCGATCTAATTTCTTCTCGACTTTGGGTTTTCAATTTAACAATTTTAATAATTTTAGCCCGTGTGCTGATAATAATCGTAAATCACCTCGAATGTAATACCTTATATAATATATCTTGTAAATTAATCTTATCATTAGCCTTACATAATTAGCTAATTAATTAAAGAAGGTAGCAAGCGTGACGAAAAACAGTCAGGAGGAACGACATGGACTCGTACGGTTAATTTTAAATATGCAAGAGTTGGTTCGTTATCCAGATAGATCCAGGTACAGCACACGATATTTGCAAAATATTTTAAAAATATAGTATATATAATTAATTATATTGTAAATATTCAAATATCCGGGAAATTCAATTATGAGAAAGATCGTGATAAACATTAAAAAATATTTATGAAGAGTATTTTTCACAGACAAAACCTAGTTTCATTAATTCAATAATTAAAATATAGCTTTATTTAAGTGAGACCGTGTTTTTATTATATATGGAAAATATTCTTCATAAGTATCTTTTGAATATTTATCATAATCTTTTTTATGCCAGAGAGAATTTCCCGGACATTTGAATATTTCTAAAATATATATATAAATATTATGTATTGTTTGGGTAGCCACATATGAGACATGTGCAAGCCATCATTGAACATTGTCCTTTAATTCTCACCTCATCAGATAAGATCTAGGTAGCACGTGTTAGTTTCACATACGTTCTTTAAACATAAGTAACCTTTCATAATCACATTACATATGTTTGAAGAACGCGCATGAAACTTACTACTTGAGGAATCATTCGATATATCCTCTTTAGAGTTCGCTAATTGTCCCTCGTCGAGACATCGTCTGCGCGTTCATCGCGTTTTCCTCGGCGAGATTCTCGGGATCCGAAGGACGGACTGTGCACCGCTGGCAGTCCAAATCGCATTCAAATGAGGAAAGGAGGGGCGCCTCTCGCAGCGGCCCCCAAAAAGCGAAACGATCCTCGGCATACACGCGGCGTCTCCGACGTCGCGTGTAATCATTCTCGGAAGGGCGATCCCGTGGCCGGGAGATGATAATAATAATTTGAATCGCGGCCACTTAGCATACGTGCAATTTGGCGCTTACGACGATTCCGTCCTTTCCACTTCGTAGCGGCGTAGCGCGCGCGGCCAGCCGTCGTCGTTCCCTGGCGAGGACGGCGCTCGCTTCACGAAATCCATAATCACCGACCCGAGCTTGAACCCGCGGGCCTGCCCTGCCCAGAGACACACGGGCCTCGCGGGGGCCCGCATAAAACGCGACGAAACGCGCGTAATTTGCGGGGCCCTTTTCGACAGTTCGGGCATTCCTTCCTTCGAAGTGCTCTTGCACTCTCTCTCTCTCTTTCTTTCTCTTTCCACCCGTCTCGCATAAAAGCGCCTCGCGGTAAATTTTCGCTTCGCCGTAAATGATTACGTTAGACGACGCTGTTATCCCCCCGGCCGTCCGAGGATGCATTCTGCGGTAGCGTGCGCGGCGACGTGTGTGCCGACGCGAATCCGACAGCCGGGTGTTATCGAGGAATAATAGTGAACGGAATCCCGAGGTAACGGAACCGCATGAAAGCCGGCTGAAAGCGACGATGGAGGCGAAAATCACCGACGCGAGAATTTTGCAATCCGCCGCCGCCAGATGTACAGATATCGTCATTCTCTCGCCATCGTCGTCTCCGGCATATCACTTGGGTGATATCGCGCGGATGTAACTGTCCTTAGAAAACGCCAATTTGTTTCTTTCTAAATACGGTATTTAAGACCTCCCCGTAGCCCGCAGCGGAAATACGACTTCGCGTGACAAAAAATGTCGAACACGACGCAACTTCGCGAAAAAAAACACACGCTGGTAAAACACGGAGTGAAAAAATTGTTGTCTGACCCGGTAGACGACGGAGATCATTATAGGCATTTGCCCGATAATATTTGCATGAATCTGGATGGCATGTCTGGTCGCTGATTAATAGGTAGGTGTACGTTCGTAAAGGGAAGATGAAAGACCGCAGAGGGACCGAGACGACGAAATTTAAGCGCCAATTTCCCCTCCGACACAGATGATATAGTATAACATGCGACATCTAATATTGGGTTGTTCGATAAGTTCGTAGAGATTTTTAGAGGGAAATTTAGAGCCGATACTTTTATAATTGTGCATAACTTTACTTTTTTTTTCAATGACCTGTCATCAAAAAAATCGGTCATCACATTATCTAAGAAAAGTATGCATATGCAAATCGAAATTTTGATTTTAGTCTGAATGATATTCTAAGGATAGTTTTGATGTTACTCTTAAGGACAATTTGCGCCTACTTAGACGACCTATAGATTAATAAAAATCTACTTTGACGATACTGACACTTTTAATTTCTCTCGTGAACTTTTAATTCTACAGATTGAATTTTAATGCTATCTTCAATAACCTGTTTTCACGCTACAACAGTGAAAATGGAAATTTAAGACATCATCAGGAAATTGAACTTATTTTGCTGTTTTAGGCCCTATGTTGTAGAATCAAAGGTTTAAAATGGGACCAAAATTTCAACTTGGGCAACCCTAAAAGTATTGTTTCTGAGATTTTTCGTAAGAATCCCAAAAAATTTATCGAACAACTCAACACATTGAAAGCATCTGAAATCATCGGTGCTGTTTTCTGCCAAGAGATAATTGAATGAGTTACGTTTGGGAAGGGAGATAAGAACGTAAGAGTGAGAGAAGAAGCGAAAGATCGTGCGCCAATATGGACAAAAAGTGCGCTATTGCGCTCGAGCGCGTATTTAAAGAAA